TATTTATTGAAAATATGACAATGAATGTAATTTTTTGGTTCATCTTCAGGTTTCTGCGTTAGGATGACGTATCGAACGACGTTAGTCAAATATCGCAAAACAGTCAAATATGTCTATAGCATTTTTTGGCATCACACCAGTCATGTGATCAACAGACAGATGTCACTGCTGGCAAAAACGAGGAAGAAGACAACAGGAAGTGGTAGGAGGATGATGGTTTGTTTTTGTTATTTTTTTCTAGCGAGTTATCCACCAGAGCTCTCACAGCATCAACACAATTCATGAAATGTTTTTTGTCAATCCAACGTGTTGAATCCACAACTCTTCAGTAAAATCATACTAAATTTTTCCAAAAAAAAACACATATGGAGCCTCTCCCATTTTTTATTTAATGGAAATGCTCCAAATGTGAAATTGCAATTTTTTTTTTTTTGACATTAAAAGAATATAGACAAAGATTTCCATTTGAAACGGAAACTCAGCTGGTGTTGTGAACAGTTGATGGCAACTGTTGCTACTAAGCAAGAAATAGGTTATTAGATTTAAAGGCCAATTGCCTTCAACCTAAAGGCTGATTGCCTTTAAGGATGTTTTTGATTGTTTTATTTCCTCACTAAATCAAATTATTGTTTAAAAAAAATTTAAATTGTATTTACTTAAGTCATCTTTGTCTGATATTAATATTTGTTTGAGCTTTTATTGTGTGAAAAAACAGCAGCATCATAGAAGTCCTATCTGCAGACGCCGTCATTGTAACCTGACAATGCGCTGCAGTTTCCAGCTTCATCATGGTGTGTGGAGATGATTTGTGGAATCTCCATGTGGGTTTGGACACCACCTGTCCCTTCTAATGGCCCGTGTGCAGCCTTGCAGGATGGCACAGATGGATCTACAGCAGGCGTACCTGCCTTCAGGTCAGCATCGTGACCGTCAGCCCCCACATAACTCGCTGCTCCCATACACAGACGTCTGCCCGCTGCCGTCATTCATCAGAGTTTTCACGCCAAGTCAACAGATTCTTGTTGTGGTGGGCAGCGAGGGAAGCGCCTCCCGGGTTCATTTCCAGCAGTAACGACGAGTGTGTGGATGTTTTTAAAGGAGGAGGTGAACGATAGAGCTCACCTGTCCATGCAGGTGACCTGATATCACCAGCAGGACAGAATCTATTGCAGTTAAGACAACAGCTGTAACAGATTTGATTCAAAATTTGGTTTAAAATTCAACCCAGTAATCATAGCCTTGACTTATATATTACTTCTAACTGCCAATTTGAAAGTTCTCTTAACAAATATACCAAATTATGCATTAATACACACAGCTGACATCTGAATCTCTGCTCTTGTGGTTCAGCCATCGGCGTGGCGTTCCTGGATTGGTTGCTCTGCAACATGGTGCCTATAGGCGTTTAAGCATCAAAGTTGAATTTTCTTTTCAATATTTTAGAAAAATACTTTGCAAACACACAAATCTGCAAATAATTTGGACCTACGTTCCACGAAAAAACACACACAAATAAGAATCTGCACATACTGGCCCACTGTTGGACTTTTTGGGACTTTATGGGTTTTTTTCGGCGACAACTAGGAAAAAAATTATAAATTTATGACATCCTCTAAGTCTTGATTTATAGCTCTAATTGCATCTGAAGAACCAAATTAGAATTACATTTAATCACACCATAACTAGGGTCAGAACTTTAACAAGTTATTTCGATTAATTCATTACACTGATAATTTGCAGTTTTCATTATAATTTTCCATCCACTTCACAATTAACCTTTACTTTTTGGTCTATATGATCATGTGTGTCCTGAACCAGCCGAGGTGTTTCTGCCTTCCCCAGGCCGATAAGGCGCCTCTTCATATCCGTCCAAAACACTGCTGACCGACGCGCCTTGGCGTCCCGAAGCCGAGCTCAGCTGGCGATCGTGCGAGCCCAGACCGACTCCATCATCTTCTGTGTGACCCTGCACAGCTCTAAGCTGCCACAAGGAAAACAACTGTGTGGGAGAGCAGGAAATATAAATAGATGTCTAAGCTGCGCATCAACTGGGCCCGGCAAGGGAAGCAGAGGTGCTACTTGATGTGTTTGAGCCGCTGATGACCTTTTCAGACACATGCCAGGCAACGCTAACGGCTTCATCAGTCCGTCTCGCAGAAACGGTTGTTATCCCCTCACTGCCTCAGAAAGCCACAGGGCAACATGTGTGGCTTGTGCAAAAGTGGAAACAGTTCCAGAGTTTTTCTCTATGGGATATTTCTCTCTCTCTCTTCCTCACTTCAGCACCAGGAGCATTTCCATCAACAGAGAGGACTACAGGTGCAGCTTTCTGACCGATTTTAAAAAGCCTGACCTGCGCATTCATTTATCTCTCCTCCTTATCCTGTGTAGTTAAATTATAGTTATTATTAATGCTGCAAAGCACTTCATCATCAGCAACATAATGAAGGACGTTTATGTATTCATTTATTTTTCTGTTTTTTTTGCTTCATTCTTTCTGGTTCTCCTGACCCTTCAGAGTAAGAGCCCTCAGGCTGCAGCGCCTAACCGGAATGCATCCCTGCTGTGACCAGTCACACCTGCGCTTCTCCTGCTGGAACTTGTCTGAACGCTGCCGGTCTGGAATCCCCTCTGCGCCAAACTCGCGGTCTCATCAAAAAAAGAAAAAAACAGCTCGGATGTGGTGTGAATCCCTCCGAGACGCCTCGGCTGCACCCATCACTGCGACTGCTCCTCAAAAATCCCCTCAGTGGAGACGCTGCACAGATAATCCTGCAACGTCCCAGATCTTTTCTGGGATTGAACCCCGGTGGGAGCTGGCGATGAGATTTCAGAGGGCACCGCCGGCCACTTTTTTGTTTTTTTCTTTTAATCAGAGGAGAATTTGGTTAAAGGGGCCAGGGGAGGATTTGCAGTGTCCCCACAAATCCAGGTTATTACCAAGCATGTCTCAATAAGCAATTAATCAATTAATTTTCTAGTATATCATTAAATAAATTATAATTTCCGTTCTGATGGTTAATATTTTTGAAAGGCGGTTTTGTTGACAGGGACATTGTTATGTTTTTTTTTATGTGTGTGTGTGTGTGTGGGAGTGTGTGTGTGTGTGGGAGTGTGTGTGTGTGTGGGAGTGTGTGTGTGTGCTCGTCTTATTTCTTGTCTTTGGTTGGTTTTATTTTCCATTTAAAATGTCTTCCAGCTGCAGTGTGGAGTGCTGTGAGCAAAATTAACTTGTAGTCTTGCATTATTGTGCCGTTCTCGTTATTTTAGTAAAAAACTGTCTCGATACAGCGATATTATTGTTTATCGCAATCATTTCTGGGACAGTTTATTCTCCAGCAAAATTAGTTACAGTGGCCGGCCACGTTATGATTGAAATGTTTTACTCCAGTAGTTCAAACATGAATCGAGAGTTGGGAAACTTCTACACGGCTTCAACATGAAGCAGAAGTAACGTGTTGTGAAACTGCGCTGTATTAAACATGGCAGCCAGACTTTTCTGCAAACAAACTCACTTCAAATATCTGCACAACATGCATGATCAGCTTTTTCTTTTATTTTGCTATTTCGCTGTAAATTGTAACTTAAGTTAAATTCCACTTTTCCAAAACCAAGCTTCCACAGCTGCATGATAACATCGCATAAGGCAGCTGATCACAGTTGGTCGCCTTTTCTTGCCTGCTGTATTTTCAGGTTTTTAAATTGGATTCCCTGATCAGAAGTATCTAATTTTTCTTCCTCCTGTTTATTGGTGGCACATGTGGTTTATCTTGGAAGTCGGAATGACATCACACCTAAATCAAGCGTATTCCAGTTGCAAGTGAAGAAACTGTGGGATCTGCTAACAGTTAGTGTAACTTTTTTAATTATTATGGCTTTTCGTCAGTACTCTGCGTTGTGTGAATATGGCAGCAATACGTATTGCTGATACGCAATACAAACTGATGGGAAGGGAATGATGAAAAGACAAAAAAAAAAGTGCTAATAAGTAGTTTGTACCGGTTCCGGCCGTATCTGTTATGACTTTTGACCTCAGATGTTGAAATGTTTCATTTCTGAGTGAAAACTGAAAAATCTCATTTCTGAGTGAAAACTGAAAAATCTCACTTCTCAGCAGAAACACCATGAAACTGCATTGGATTTCTTCAGAACTCTGGAGGTGAGCATGTTCTGGCAAGTCGGATAAGATTCAATCATTGTGGTGCTACGAAGCACGAACAACATGAGCTCAAACACTGAAGGAAGGCTCACATTTTACTGCACTGTGAGTGACACTGCTCAATGCTCAACTGAAGGTTTTCTTGGCGATAAGCTCTGACCTGCTCAGCTCTGACTCTGTGGTCTTTCTCGATTGGAAACTCTGAAATTCCTGCTTATGAGAGCAAACACAACATCAGCTCGATTCATTTGCCTCTTGTGATGTCATGACCCAAATACACACAATTTGATGGAAGTTTTTTTTTTTCCTTCACAGCACTTCTTTAAAATATATTTTATGAAATATTACAGCGGGAATCCACTTTAACAACCAGCTGTGTTTTGTTGGAAGTTTAGATGTGTTAGTGATTATATCCTAAAAGTATGATCACTGCCTTTAAAATGGACCAAGATGTCACTTGGTATTTTCTAGTACCGATCAATCAGGGATGAAAACCACTGCAACCTGCTGTCCCTTATTCTGTACTGAACCACGGAACTGCTCCTCCCTGACTCATCGCTCAGGTCTGTTGAACGTGATCACCAATCCCCACGCCGCGTAAAATATGTTCATATCAGTCATGCAAAGTTCAGTATCTCCTGCATCAGTAAATAATGAAAGACTGTGTGCCATTTTCTGAGGAGCAAGACGGAGCATGCTTGATGGATGAGGCGCAGCTCGCGTCTCTAACTGACCCACATGCACAACAATGAGGGCTCGCCCGCATCTCTCTGCCCGCGCGCCTCCCGTGCCGCGGTCCCGTTTTGGGGCCGCGTTCCGCCGGGAATCGCTTTCAACTCACCGAGCTTTCCCCGGGACTCCTCCAGCTTCTGGATCTGGTTCTCCAGGAAGAACATGGCCACTGCGAACGCAAGCAGCGCCAGCAGCTGCAACTTGGGCGGCATCATGACTCTGAGCAACCCCATCAAATCATCCGGAGGGGGATTTGGTCACTCCATCCTCGGAAGAGACAACACCGAAACAAACAGCGGCTGCGGCGGGGGGTTCACTCAGCGGCTGGGGAGTGTGAGCATGGCCCCCTCTCTCGCTCTCTCTGTTTCTCTCTCTCTTTCTCTCCGTCGTTTCTCAGAAGCGTGTGTGGATATCTCGTAACATCTAGATCCTCCAGTCACCTCAAATGGTAGACCCCCATGCTTCATTAATTGTCCCAGATTGTAAATCGCCTCAAAACCCAGAAGATTTGGCCAGAATGCGAACTTCTCCAGTCGGATTGGGGAACCAGACTGGTACCAGTCGGTGTTGCCAGTGTCCCCTATCACACCGAGTGTGGCTACCACCGCACTACGGACACATTACCCCTGTGTGCCACCCAGACTATTGGCCGTATGAGCAGTCCACCAGCCAGCAGTGGCTTTTCATTCGTTCACTATTCCTGCCTATTCAATCCGGATTGGACAGTTTCATCTGATTTACCTCAACCAGACGGCAGGTGTCGCCCTTTTTTCATCATCCTCGAAATTCAATAAAGACAAGGAAGAGATTTTTAGTCGGCTTTAGTTAATGCCAACATAGAAAAGATTAAAGAAAATTACAAAATGAAAGGAATAGAAAAGAAAATTTTCATTAAAAAAATCAAACAAAATATTTCAAGCGAAAGTGTTTATTTTCTGACAATAAGCTGAAAAATAAAGGACAAATCTATTTTTCAAACTGAACATTACTCAGGCGAGTATAGCTTTCCCTGAGTGGAATAATAAAGGGCCATAGTAGAAGTTTCGCTAACAAAGCAGGCTGCAAAATGTCGGGAGAGGTGTATCTCCTGTGGCTGCTGTCGTTGCTGCAGACGGTGAGTTTATTAACGCTGAGAGAGCCGGTGTTAGCCACAGGGAGACTCCCTACAAGCTTACAGCCATCACCGGCCGCGTACAGTCGGCTGGTGGTTCTTACAGTCCGTCGTTCAGCTTCGAGCACCGCATCCTGTTGTTCCAGGAGTCGCTACATGACGTGGCTCTTCCAATGAATAGCTGCGAACCAAGAGGAGAAATTGAGTTTTTATTCGTTCAACGCTGTAAATCTGGATGACGCTGCTATCAGAAATGAACTGAACAGTTCATGTACAGGTTTTTGGCGCCGAGAGGCAACGTTGACGTTTGACTTCCGGCGTTCCAAACTCTCAATCTGTATAAAAGCTGAACGACAACCGAGATTTAAAATGACGTTTAGCGTTAAAGTGACGTGGCACGGAGGGCGCTCGTGGTCTACGGTGTTTTCGTATTCCGAAAATGAAAGGAGACCTTCTGTGAAGCGTTAACATAAACTCCGCTGAAAACGAAAACAAATGAGTGGAGCGTGACGTGTCTGCTGGACACAGCGAACCACACAAGATGACAAGAAGCAGAACTTACTGTTTGGATATTTTTTGCGAGCGGAAATGTTTTTTTCTATCTAATGAAATTTTATAACACCAAATACAAGTTGTTTTTTTGTGAGTGTGCTTTATTGCTTATAAAAGCTTAATTTGGCCAACATATTTACAAAGAGATGCATTTTCAACTCATTAAAGTCCGTACAAAAATATTCAAGGACAACATCTTCCATTTTCATGTCAAAGGAAATAAAAAACCAGTTCAAGCGCACGAGACTGTATAGTTGAAATCTGTTATTTCCGGTCACTTAATGAAAAACAGGAAAGTGGGTTCGATTCCAGGTCTCGTGCCATTTCTTCTCTCTCCTTCCTGTTTTCTGACGAAATTACTGTTCAATAACTGTAACGAGCCAAAAACAAGAATTAAAATATGTATTTCTTGTTTTCCCTCAGTAAGAAGGTTTCTTATTTAATATTGATTATAATTACCAAACTTATTTCTATTTGAGATATATATATATATAAATTTTTTCCCAACTTTGGAAGTTTACATACATTTTCTTTGTATTTTGTGGAAACGCCCCTGATGATTTGAGTTAGACATGTGGGGTACCTTCCAGGTTTTTGATGACGACTCCAAACATTGCCCTTGTTTGGTGTGGCCGTCACCATCTTAACTAATTTTGTGATATGCTTCTAGGTTTGTTTGTTTTTAATTCTTATTTTAAAAGGCATTGTAATCTTATTCAGTGGCATCTTGATAGTCCAGACCTACACAAAGGAAATAAATGTGTGATTTGCAGTAGCTTATTGCTGCAAATTCTCATGTCTTAGTTTGTGGTGTTGGTCCAAAACTTGTGCATTCATACTTGTATGAAAATGATCAGATCATTATCAGGTGTAGGTAGAAAAGGGGCAATTTAACCACCTGCCTTTTTCCCCCATTTCACATCGACGATCACTACGGCTGCATTCACACCAGTCCTGTTTAAAGCTCCATTTCTTTTCTCTATAAAGTCTGGTTTGTTCAGTCAGGTGTGAATGTGTAATCAAGCCCCAATGTCTCCAAAAGCAGGAAGTGCAGTATAAAACAGGGCCTTCTGGGTAAATACAACCAAAACAAACAAAACTGGGATTCTAGTGCTAGTGTGAGAAGGGTTAGGGGTCAGGCTCGTGATCTTTTACCGAAGACAAAACAAATCCTACAACCACTAAGATTTGATGTCGCTCCATTTTTATTTACATTTTATAAAGGTAAAAGTGGTCTTCAGAGGTTTTCATGTTGTTTCCTTCAGTTGTCGTCCCACAGGTGAGGAGAGGAACAGGTATTTTTCAATTAGCTTACAGTGCCATGTGAATTTGAACTGCAGCAAATGAAAATGGAACAAATGTCACAATTTGTCCCCAGTCGAGCAGAGTCTACCGGATTATCAGATGTAAAAAACTCTGTTTACCATTAACGGCTCTTTATAGATAAATATTGTAAAATCAAATGTCAGGGTCTATATGTCCAAAAAGCTGGTGTCTGGCTCAATCTGGGTCACCAACATATCTGATCATACACTGATATTTAGTAACGTTAGACAGAAATTTAAATTATTGTTGCTAAACATAAATTGAACATTTCGGAGTGATTTGTCTAATAGACTGAAATCTGTTGCATGTTTTTGTACACTCAAGGCGAGCTTCAAATGGTGTTCAAAGGTGATAAAGACCATCTCATTCTCATACAGACTGAGTTCCACTTGAGACTGTATGATGAACGTATTTGGTTCCTAATTGAATCTCCTTCTCATGTAACCTGCGTATCCTTACAGCTGTCTGCGTATGGGGCCGAGCTGTCGTCCGAGGCTTGCAGGGAGCTGGGCTTCTCCAGTAACCTCCTGTGCAGCTCCTGCGACCTGCTGGGGGAGTTCAGCCTCACCAAGCTGCAGCCCATCTGCCGGCAGTGCTGCCAGCAGGAGGCTCAGATGGAATCACGCAAGGTAAGGCTGGGCTGGGCTACATGAGAGCTTATTTAGAGAACAGAGGGAATGCCTGTAAAAATAAGAATAGTTTACTATGTCAGAGGTGCAAACTGAAGACGGTGTAAGGAATGCAGGACAATCTGTCAGAATGCGTCAGCTTTTATTGACAGAGGGTCGCATTCTTTAGCATTCTGCCGCTACTAAAAGCAGCTCAGTTTGCCATCTGTCTGTGGGTTTGTTGACACTTTGCAACTGTGCATCATCTCTGAGCCGTCTGTCACCAGCTGAGATTCCTTTGACCATAGAACACAGTTTGACATTGCGAAAATAAATTAGCTTAATGGACGCATGAATTTGGTTTATTTTGCAAAACTGCAAGGGAATCATTTATTTCACATCACACAAGTCATATTATGAACAACTGGATGTTGCTACTGATGCAAACCCTGAAGAAGAGCACAGGAACTAGTAGGAGGATGCCGTTTTGTAATGATTTATAGGCCTGAACAAGCTTCTTCACATGTGATTTTCGACTGTGTTTCTTATTTAATGGAAATAAGAATTGCAAAATTGTGGGGGTTTTCGGCATTATTGGAATACTGAGGAAACTTGGCACACATTTGTAACTACTCTGAAACTCCATCATGACAAAGCTTTCCCAGCCTCTGTTAACACCCCTGTGACGGGCTGAATTGGCAGGTTTTGCCCCGGGACCGTCTCCGTGGCGATCCCCTCTGTGATTACAGCAGGAATCATTGCAACCCTCGCTGAGCTCTGATGGATAAACGCACAGTCGACTGATGGTGGGAAAACAGCATTCTTTTTTTTTTTTTCTCTCTTTTGATTTAAGCAAATCCCCTGGAGCGCGTGTGTAGTATCCTAGCAACAGTACATTCTCAGAAGTGTAGTGAACACCTCATTACACCTCTTGATGATAACTCTATTCCAGAAAGACGCTTACAGCCAAGATTACCTCTTTCCGCTTCCTCCTTCTCCTCCCTACGATTTGAGTAAAAACTGTCACTTGAAGAGCAATCGGCCTCCTCCTGCTGCTCTCCATCCCCTCGTTGTACCTGCTGAAACCACACCGCCTCTCAGCACATTCCCCCTCAGACAGCAACAATAATGTCCCTTAAGAATCCGTTTAATTGTTGGATTGGACATGAGTGGTGAGTCGTTAGGCTCTCTGCAGAGCCCTGTTGGTTAGTGAGCAGGTTGAGTTCAGCTAACCTGACTTATCTCCGTCTTTTAGGCCTCTTTGCAGAACAATCGATGATAATACCTGTGAGACACTCATTTCAGAGCGTGGAAACCTGCTGTGTGATGACCTTCGATGAGAAACGCTGGAAAACATACATTTTCATTCATACATACACATTTTTAATTCTCCCTATGTATTCTGGAGATCCATCATGGTTTCTCCTGGCTGATACCGTTTTCAAGTTGTCCTTGTCAGATCTTTTATAACCTTAACAGAAACCGTGTGAGAACATGCTGTTGGTTAGTTTTCAAGTGTTTACAGAACACTCAAAATCACATCGTTCTTCTTATATTTTGCCTGTCATGAGTGACTGAAGAGACTTAAGGTTTAAACATAAAATCTTTTTTTTCTCCATACTAAATCTGATTTCTGATTTGAATAGATTTTTTTTTCTCCCTTTTAATAAAAATCAGCTTTTTTTTTACAGTTTTTTACCCCTTTAATAAATATTGTTGTGCTCTTGGAGGCCGGAGCAGTGCAGAAACGTTGAATTCAGTCTCTCTTAGTGAATCGTTTATATCTTTATATTCCATCTGGGTAATATTTGTTCGATCTGTTCAGTGTTCTCTTTTCCCTGTTAAATTTTTTTTAAACAGTTTCCATCGCAGTATTTGTTGTGGAACTTCCAAACAGCTTTATGGAGTCGGTTTTGTGACTCTATTTTTATTTCTGTATTCCAAATTCAATGATGCCAAAGCAAAATGTTCTGTTGTGGTGTGGTGTGTATTAACACACACGACTCCTTCCACTATCTCCCAGCATCAGGAAACATTACAAACCTGATCCCTGATGGATTGATGGTCATTTCATTCTGTCCATGGAAAGACAGACACACTATGAAGTGAAAGTAGTACATTAGTGAAAATATATCTTCATTTTTCTAAAAATTAAATCTCCATAAAAAAGCTATTCGATTGACTTAATAAATTTATGGCCCAACCATAGTATGACTGGATCATTTTGATTGGCTCATCTCATCTATATATTTAATCAAAACCAAAACTATAAATGTGTCACTGACGTCTTTACTGACTAACTGGTTGTTGAAAAGCTCATCTTCATCTTCGTCATCCATCAGGCCTGCTGCATATGCTCAGATTTGCTGCTTATTGATCTTGAAGATGCCACGGCTTGTTTATGGCTCTGCTCCTCCACGCTAAGCTCCGCCCCTCCAGCGGAGACTCAAACACATCTCTTTATTTTTTTTATCTTTTTCATTTCCCCCTGCAGCTCTACGCCGGAGCGATCCTGGAGGTGTGTGGATGAAAACTGGGGAGGTTCCCTCAAGTCCAGGGTAAGTTCTGCAGAGAGACGAAGGACGTCCATCTGTTGTTTATTTACCTCAGCTGTGTCCCCTCAGCTGTTTCTGCCGCATTCTCAAGATGTCCGTCCATCTGTCTGTCCACATGACCTCTGACTCTGCTTTTTCCCCTCAGCTTTTGTCAGGAGCGAGATGCCCAAGATGTTTAAAGGTCTTCAGATCAAGGTAACCCTGAAGAGTTATGTTCTTCTGTTGTGTAGGGCTGCAACTAACGATTATTTTAGTGAACGATTAATCGATTATTCTGACGGTTGATTGATCAGATTGAAAAATGTCACATTTAATTTAAACACTTTTTTAAATATTAAAAATTCAAAAATGCAAACAAACAAATAATTAATTTCTCTTTTTAAATAATAAAAATATTCAATGCCTAAAATGAAACATCGTAACATTCCTTTAGCTGGACTGGGTGAAGATAAAACTGTACCACTAGAGGAAACACTTTTACAGACTGAGGTGTTTTTATCTTGTATATGTTTTTTGTACCCTTTTGGCTTAATTACTGCTCTGAATATGTTATTTTTAAACACCAATTTGCATTTTTTGTGTCTGTATTCTTCAGTTAAGATTAATCAGTTATCAAATTAGTTGGCAATTATTTCAAGAATTTATTAATCGCGACTAATCCAATCGTTTTCAGCCCTCATCTTATCATTCTCTGGCATCATCTATTTTTACCAAGCGTTGATGTGCGTTTCTAACACGGCTCGTGTCTTCTGTCTCCCGTTTCCATGGCGCAGTACGTCAGAGGCTCCGATCCCATCCTGAAGCTCCTGGACGATAACGGGAACATCGCTGAAGAGCTCAGCATCACCAAGTGGAACACCGACAGCGTAGAAGAGTTTCTGAGTGAGAAGTTAGACCGAATATAGACACACACAAAAAAATATAATTTTTTAAAAAATATGTATAGAACTTAAGTGGTCTCTTAAATTACCAAGAAAATGGACTTTATTTTGGGCAAAAATGTTGCTTTTTGTTTCATTGGATTTCTGTCATCGTTTAGCTGTTTGTATAAAACCTGGGCTCGACAGCTGTTTAAATCATTAATCTGTGTTTTTGTATCTGATTATAATCAGTGTGTCTGCGTGGATCTCACCAGATGACTCGACTAAAACCCTAAAACACGTCCATAAAATCAATTTCACAAAGGAATCATCTTTTGCTAAGATAAACGTTCCTCTTTTTGTCTGTCGGATATTGTTGTGAGATGATTATTTTTATGATGCTTACTGTTGTGACCAGCAGTAAGAGAGAGTGAATCCCCTTTCCTCAGCGAACGCACCCGGCCTTGATGAGACACACGTCAGTGAAGAGCTCACAGTAAACCGGTTCTGGGATGTGAGCTCTGATGGAAATCTGTGTGTTTCTTCAGCGGCTGCTTTTGAAGAGGAACTGGTTTTCTTTTCAGGGTTCGTTTTTGAGCTGGTTGATGGGATAAATATGCAACAATAAACAGAATCTTCAATTTCTCCTTTAAGGTGTTGGGTTTTTTTTCCTCTGATGCCAACAAACGCATCAGATTGTTCCTGGACAGAAGTGTCTATTTTAGATGATGTGCTGACATCTAGTGGTGTTTTTGTGTATTGCAGCTATGTTTTGCATCAGGTTGCTACTTTGTGTTGACGCTTGTTTGAAACCTGTTGGATTTTCATATAACTACATTTATCTACAAAATCTATGATGAAAATAGATTATCTGTTGTAAGTTTTAGGAACTTTGAGTCAGCAGAGGTGAAAGTCCACAGTAATGTCAGTCTCGCCACCCGCGACCTTCAAAGAGTTGGCACTTTGAAGATTTACCATGCTGAAAAATGACCTGAAGTTTAAAGGGACAGTATTATGTGTTTTCAAGGCACATAGTGCCATTTTACTGCACACTCAGATAACTGTTACCTTCAGTTGTTATAAAAATTATTTAAAATAACAGGACAGGAAGTTTTCTGTTCCTGTTCTCCTCCTGTTGGCATAGAGTCAGATTGCTGTCTCAGCTCTCGGTCTTTGAAATGTTAGAAAGACGCAGAACTGAGGCTGATCAAAATTCATTTTCTGACTGCGGAAACAAAGACTAACTAAATAACCCTGATTAACAAATTCTTGAAATAATTAATCTAGTAATCGAATTATTGGAGTTTACAGACTAATAAAAATGCCATTTGCTAAACAAAACACACTCAGATGCAATAATTAAGGTGAAACTGCACAAAACTGTACATCTTGGAATTAAGACAGATAGGAAACATGCTCTTCCCAGAAACTTAAGTGATATGATTTTAATTTCACCTGGTTCAAATTCTATAGTAAAAAAAGAAGAAACATCTTACTAAACACCCTTTCCTATCAAATTACAAATTGGTTAGTAAATAATATCCACCAGATTAGTTCTACACTGTATTTATGTTAAGTTTAGAACGAGTTTATCTTTTCACATGTTGATGTTCAAAGTATTTTGTTAGCTGCAAATCTTTTGCTCCAAATGATCAAGCGATGGCTAAAGGAATGTTAAGTTAATGCAATTTAGAAAGTGAAATATTTATTTTCCTATTTAAGAAAGGACATGAATTATTTGCTAATTTGCATTTTATAGTTGTTCAATACTGCATAAAAACAGATTCGGAGGTTAAAATGAAAAATCAGCCAAACATGCCAATTTCTTTTGTCCAATTAATCGATTAATTACATCCCCAAAATAATCATTAGTTGCACCTTTATCACATATAACAATGAATGTATAGATTTTTATTCTGTTTGAGCTCCAAACTAACGTGCTCTACACAGAGTGTGGTCAGGTTGATTTTTCCAAAGATGTCTGGAAGAAGTGGCTGCACTTTTTGGGGGGGGGATGTGCACAAATACATAACTTTCATCAGTATAAATAGAGAAAATTGTTCATGGTTTTCTTCATCTTAACAATTGTGCACTAATTTATTACATGGAATTATTATATAGATAGATAGATAGATAGATAGATAGATAGATAGATAGATAGATAGATAGATAGATAGATAGATAGATAGATAGATAGATAGATAGATAGATAGATAGACAGACAGACAGACAGACAGACAGACAGACAGACAGACAGACAGACAGACAGATAGATAGATAGATACTAAAGTTCATTTTAAATGCTGTTTTCTTTGAATGGCAGCAGATTCATAGATTTTCAGCTCCAGTGATACAATCTAAATATCGGTTTTATTCGTTTTATTCGATGTGAAAACAAAGAAGCATACCGTAACCTTGATATGAATCGCGTTCAGGTGAGGAACAGGAGTAAATTTACCAAAAGTCCTTCAGAACAGTGTTTTTCTTCCCTCCTTGGGTTTAAAGCAACATATGAAAGTGATCACATTGTCTTAGCGCATTTTGAGTGATAAAAAAAGACATCTGTTCGCAGACATGAAACTTCCTTCAGCTGGTTTTAGTTTGTTTCTTTTAAAGCTTGGAGTTATTGTAAGATGTTCCTCCTCCTTTGTACACCTTTCCAGCCACTTTAGTAGAATCTTCCTTCAGAGGAATATTTGATAGTGTTTGGTTTTCCAGTCTCACATGCTGGGGGAGTTTGGTGGCGCGTATGATGCAGCCTTGCTCATCCCTCCTGGAAGCAGGATGTACGCCACCTGAGGGTGCAGGGAGGCTGCGGACCAGGCGCTGCAGCTGCAGGGAACCACGTACCCGGCTGGGCTGGACGGAGGCTGGTGCTGCCCGGGGCTCGCCAGCCCCCCGAACCCTGCGCCCTGGTAGCCGAAGGCGTGCGCGCCGTAGGGCAGCGCGCCTGCGGCCAGAGCGCGCGGCACTTCCGCAGTCCGCTGGACAGCTCCGGTGCTGAACTGCGTGAGCGGCTCACAGAGCGAGAACGGAGAGGGGGATGAGGGGGAAGGAGAAAGCAGAGTTCTGGGTTTGTCCCCGGAAACGATCAAAGAGTCCAGGTGAACCCCCTTCAGGTGTTCCGCCGCGTCGCCGAGCAAAGACGGCAGCGGGAAAACCAAGCGGTCCCTCTTCAGGGGACCCCGGGGTTTGCGCCGGGGCCGGTACTTGTAGTCCGGATGCTCCTTCATGTGCTGAGCCCGCAGCCGCTTCGCCTCGTCGATGTACGGCCGCTTCTCCGGGTCAGAGAGCCGCTTCCACTCCGCGCCCAGCCGCTTGCTGATTTCAGAGTTGTGCATCTTGGGGTTTTCCCGGGCCATGCGCCTCCTCTGCCCTCTGGACCAAACCATGAAGGCGTTCATGGGCCTCTTAATGTGATCCAAAGGTTTTGCCATTTTTACGGGCTGATGTTGGAAATGTAAAGGGAATCAAGTCACCGCTTGGAAAAGCTCATGCTCCTCTCGTGCGTAAAAGCAAAAGCTGCTGAGGAGGGAAAAAAAAAGTCCAGAAGCTGGTTTAGTTCTGGAGGATTCGGGGAACAAAAAGTCCAAACTGACTGGAGGAAAACTTGAACAGTGAAGCCGAAAGCCTGAATGAGTGAATGAAAGGGGGCCACGCGGGACCGAGTGGGAGCTTGTTGTTGATGACGCAGAGCATGTCATCCACTCATCACCGCTGACAGGGAGGAGGGAGATGGAGGGGGAGGGGGGTGGGGCACAGGGGGATTAAAGAGACCATATAATCCTTTAAGACAAAATAGGAGAATAACTACAACTTTTTCTCACATTGTCTAGAAACTTTGCTGGATTTTATTGGAATTTTCTGTGATGACCAAAACAAAACGGGGAAAAAATCTCAAGAGAGTTTTTACATTTTTTTACAAATACATGTTTCTATGCAGCCTCCTTTACTCTGATACCTCTAAACTGTGGAATGGTTTACCTTTACAAATCAGACAAACTGAGTTTCTTCATGCTTTTTTCAAAAGTCTTCTTAAAGTTGATCTTTTCTCACTGACTTTGAACTTGAAGTTTCGATTTTTACTCTTATCGTTAATGAATTTATTCTTGGTTTTTTTTATGTCTGGGTGTGATGTACAGGACTCTGGTCAGCTGTGTTGTTTTTAAAGTGTTTTAATTGTGAAATATTTTGGAAACCCCAACATTTCTGAATTATGCAGAACTTTTGTTCCTCTGTCACATGAAATTGGAATGAAACTCCACACAGTACATGGTTCTAACCTGACAAAATGGAAAAAGAAAAAAATATCAAACTAGCACAATCAATTTACAGAAAAGATACATTTCTTTCTGTGAACTGAAGTGGAAACTGCCTCAAAAAAAAAAAAAAAATAGCCAAAATGGCTCCAGAGGGATTATTCCTTGAACAAGGTGGGGTGTGTTTTCCTGTGGACAGGCCTGCTGTGGCTGGTGGATGATCGGCGTTCGGCTTTCCGTTGTCTTAGCGATGTCAGGGCAACCACTGATGAAGAGGAGGAGGGGAGAGAGGGTGGTCTTTATTCCAATTTGCCTCAAATCATCTAAAGCAATCCAGGTCTCTTCAAGGGCAAAATAACCTGACATAAAAGATTCGGTGGAGCACAAGAGACTGGAGGTGGGGGCGATAAGATGTTTTCCTCTCCCTGTCCGGAGGCTGGGAGGACAGCCGGGCTCAGGCAGCTCATCTTCCTCCTTGCAGCTGCCGTTATCTGTTTTGGGGCGTCTGCAGGCAGGCAGGCCTCCACACGGGAGGCGCAGAGACAATCACCCTGCAGAAGAACAGCAGCTGGAGGACGGCAACGTGTGCAGAAATGATCCGCTTCTTTTTGCTCTCCACAAAGGCTTTGGTTGTTTTAAGTGGAAAAATTGTCTTGTGTTGTTTTGTACCTATAAGTGTTTAGAGGGACTTCTAAGAAAGGGCAACGTTTCAACTCCAAAGAGATGAGGTTGGTGGTGTGTGTGTGTGTGTGTGTGGGGGGGGGGGGGGGGGGGAGTGGTGCAGGAGAGGATAAAAAGGGGGGGGGGGTGCCTGCAGCTCAAAATGGGTGGCCATAATCCGGTTATCCTCTCGGCTCTAAAGATACTGGTCCTCTCTTTAGGAGACTATCTTTTCTTCTTATGTCAAAACTGTCCTCTATGCACTCAGGTGGATTAGGGAGTCACAGTGTAGAAAGAGGCTGGCAGGTAGGTGAAAAAGCAAATAAAGGACGAGATAGAGAGACAGGCTGTACGTCTGTGAATAAAAGAGGAATCTAACAAAACAAATCAGCTCTGATCAATAGTAGAACAGCTTCTTTATTTTGTCCAGCAGTCCCCAGTCACTTCACCGTCTCCAACAATTCATCATGAATCTTTTTGATTTGTCTTTCTAGTTTCATGTTCCCAACAAGCAGAACCTCTCCAATGGGTTTCCTCATTCTCCGTCGGCCTTTACCAGTCAAAGGTCATCTGGATTCTAGAAACATCATCCTCAAAGTGTTTCAGAGTCCAATGTATTGAATTTGATTGAGATCCTGAAAAAACGGCATAACAGCAGACGCATCACGAAAACTGGAGGTTTTTCCCAAAGTAATGAGAAGATAAGACAGAAACTGTTTGGGGACAAGTGATCATTTCTACAGCGTTCTGGTTAGGTGACTAAACTCTGCTGCATTCTTCTCAAGTGTCTGGACTAAAAGGTGGGGCTAAACCACAGACATGTCTCTAAAAGCATTAGCCTTTGTCCACAATTCTGAAAGTTAACTTTGATTCAACGACATTATCATCTATAGAGTGAAACAAGGTGGAAGCAGAATCATGACCTTGGAACAGAGTTTTTGTTAAAGGGGCAATACTATGTATTTTCTAGGCACATAATACCATATTAAAGCACAACCAAGAACTATGTAACCTTCGGTCATAAAATACTGTATATGTCAAGTATTAATTGAAGGAAATTTCACTTTGTAACAATGCTATGAAATTGGAGCGCTGTCTCTTTAAGAAACTCCTGCTCTTTCTGAACCTTATCATTTTTACTGAGAAGGTAAATAATGAGCTCAGCAGATGAGTAGTTCCACCAGATGTTTGCTAATTGCTGCTGGCTAGTCTGAAGGAGCTAAGGGGGGAAAATTGTGGGAAAAGGCTCAAAAAGGTGGATTTTCCATAATATCTTACATATATTGATAAATCTAAAATATAGTGAGGACAACAGTCTCAATAAGCTGAAGCAATGTTGGAATAAAGAGTGTCAAATTCCCTGCTGATGAAGTATTACTTTCTATGCAATGCTTTTAAATATTTGAACTTAAGCATTTTAAAAAAAAATAATGATCCTGTGGAATCTGTTGCGTGCTTTTGTAAACTTAAAGTTACATTTAAATAGTTTTACGACCTGGCAGAGCAATGATTGTTTATTAAAACGTTTGTAATGTTTGTTGTTGTAAAAGTAAAGTGCTCTGAACTACCCATCATTGTCAATTTGTTGCTGTAAAACAGACTGAAATAAGAAGTGGTCGGGTTGCTTTCTTTTTTTGGAGAACCCTGCAGTCTGCACTGATGAGAGCTGACTAAAGGATTTTGTGTTAGATTTAGAAAAGTTCCAATTTGCTTCCACTCAAAATTCTGTCACTTCAGCTCCAAATAAAAACTTTAAAGTCCAAAAAACACATTGGAGTTTAACGGGGCTTCTGACACCTCTGAGTAGTCCATTAGGATACATTTCAGGGGGGAAAATCCCCCCAAGATTTTCAGTGCTCTGGGAAGGATTTCACTAAATCTTGTGCTTATACTCACCATACTTAGGAAAAGTAAAGCGCTTATTAATAGCTTTCCTACTGACACATTGATGGAGGAATACGGTTCTGGCTTTGTGGCTGAAAGCTTCAATCCCAGTTTGAGGGTGGGGCCTCTGCTTGATATTAACACACTCCCTCCAACATTCGGGGATAAACCTGGGGGCCACATTACTGCGGTGGCCCCTTTAAGCCACCATGTAATACAACCGAGTCAGCAGTCAATGAGATGCATTTTACAACTGGGCATTTGTCAGCGACTCAGTGCCACAGAAGAAAGAGATTTAAAACATCCTGCAGGAAATGAAAGTGCTGCTTGGAGAGTCTGAGCAGGCGGCTGCTTCCTTCTAAAAGGACATTTTGGTTATGATAGGAGAATGAAAGTAAATATTATTTTCAACAAAATAGTGGTGAAGAGCCTTTCACAAATACATTACATGTTATGTCCAGATTTGTAAAGTAGGTTTGAAATAGAAATAGAAATCCTCCTCCTGTCACACAAAGGTCAACGTATTTTATTAAAGGGACAGTGTCATGTAAAATTAACTTTTTGAGATTTATATCATGTCAGAATATTATTCCCTGATCAAAAACATGCCTGGAGTGTTGCCTTGATTTTTATCATGCATGTTTGAGAAATTCTTGAATCTCCCATGGTAACTATTCAGAGGGCTAAACGCCTGGGTGAACCTAGCCCCACCTTCAGGGACGAAGCTCCTCCACGGAGCTGCAGGTTCCAAGCTTCTCAGCTTCCACCTCACAGAGTAGCCCCTATTCAGCTCCTTCAGACTAGTCAGCATCATTTAGTGGACACCTAGTGAAACTGTGCATCTGAGCTCGTTATAGCAACACTGGTAAAAACATTGTTCAAGGGTTAATAAAGGAGCCATGTTGTGATGGCTTCCTGAAGGCGGAGTTTCAGAAAGTTCAGAAGTTTCTTAAAGAAACAGAGGCCCAATTTCAAGATGTTACATTGCAAAGTCAAATTTCATTTATATATTTAGCATTTTCATGACAACTGCATATGACATAGTTACTTGATTGTGCTTTAAAATGGCACCATGTACCAGGAAAACACATAATACAGCCCTTAGAAGATTTTAGGCAACAATAAGTTTGGCTATAAAGGCAATTATTAACAAAACTACTCATTTAGATCAAAAGCAAGTTAGGACATTACCTGACTAACAGGAGATCATGGGCAAATAGTTTTCAGTGTCTGTTATTGTTTAGCATTGTCAGGATCCTGGGTTGTTTAAAAAAAAAATTCAAACCTCTATTGTCTTTCATCCTTTTTTGAAATTCTGAGATTAAATTTGTATTTTTAAACTGCTATTTTATTTATTTGTTTTATTTATTTGTTTTATTTTTTGCTTTTTAAGAGGAAAACAGCAAAAACACTCTGTGCTGTGAAAAAGAAGGGAAACATCATTGATACTGTCTTTTCTCTCTCTCTCTCTGGAGAACAGGATTAGAGCATCAGTGTAAAACACAGGAATTATCAGCAATTTCTTCTGCTATATAACCAGGGTGGATAAAGGGAAGATGTACTCAAAAAATATATAGAAACTCATGCGTATCACAATATGAGTGGGCTCTACAACTGGTGAAGCATTGCGCCAG